AGACGGTCCCAGGAGGGGGGCCACCAACCGAAACGTCTAGCCTTTCGCCCCAAGACGCTCCCAGGAGGCCCCAAGAAGCCCCAAGAGGCCCCCAAGAGGCGTCCCAAGAGGCCACCAGGAGGCCCAAATGATTGATTTCCTATTGGAAACGGTATATTTTTAGCATACGAGGCTTTTCGGCTTTCGCGGCGTTGACGACGGTCCAAGAGGCCCCAAAGACCGCCCCAAGACGGCCCAAGAGGCTCCCAAGAGGTCCCCAAAACGGCCCAAGAGGGCGCCAAGACGGCCCCAGAGGCGCCCAAAACGGCCCAAGAGGGCCCCAAGATGGCCCCTAAGAGGGGGACCACGAACCGAAAAGTCTAGCCTTTCGCCCCGAGACGCTCCCAGGAGGCCCCCAGAGCCCCCCAAGAAGCCCCAAGAGGCCCCCAAGAGGTTCCCGAGAGGCCGCCAAAAGGGCCCGAAAAGGGCCCCAATAGGACCCCCAAGAAGGCCCAGGGTCGCCAAATAGAGAGCGATCGGTAACGCAAGAAGCTCTTCACACCAAGGCTCCCAAGAGCGAACGGTGACGTGAACAAGCTGATAAGACCACGGATCCCAGCTGAGAGCGGTGACGTAACAAGTTTCTGACACCAAGGCCCAGCCAAGGCTCAGGAACGGGCGGCAACGCAACAATATCTGAACACCAAGGCTCCCAAGAGCGAGGGGTGACGTAACAAGCTCTCAACACAAAGCTTCCCAGTACGAACGGTGGTGTGAGTAATTTTGGTTTCTGTTTCTCAAGCGCTCTTTCCGTTTCTGTGGCTGGCCAGGTAACGGAAAGAGCGAGGTATGAGCGATGACGTTGTGTTTTTGGCGAAGCCCCTAAGGGGAGGTTCCAGGGGGGGGGGGGGGGCGTAGCGCGAGCGGATGGGTTTAATGGCCGTTTTGGGTTTTTCCCTAGGGTTTTTGCATGTTTTTCGGATTCCCCCTCAAGATTGCCCAAGAGCGCTCCAAGAGAGCCCAAGACCGCCAGGACGGCCCAAGAGGCCCCCAAGGGGCCCCCAAGAGGCGCCCAAGGGGCGCCCCAAGAGGGCCCCAAGAAGCCCAAATTATAGATTTCCCATAGGAGAACGTATATTTTTAGCATGCGCGGCTTTTCGCCTTTCACGGCGTTGACGACGGCCCAAGAGGCCCCCAAGACCGCCCCAAAGACGGCCCAAGAGGCTCCCAAGAGGCCCCCAAAACGGCCCAAGAGGGCCCCCAGACGGCCCAAGATGCGCCCAAAACGGCCCAAGAGGGCCCCAAGACGGCCCCAAGAGGGGGACCACGAACCGAAAAGTGTAGCCTTTCGCCCCAAGACGCTCCCAGGAGGCCCCAAGAGCCCCCCGAGAAGCCCCAAGATGCCCCCAAGATGCGTCCCAAGAGTCCATCAAGAGGCTACAATCATGTTTTTTTTTTTGTTGGGGGGGGGGGGGGGGGGAAAGGGTACATTTTTAGCATGCCCGGCTTTTCGGCTTTCACGGCGTTGAAGACGGTCCAAAGGGCCCCAAGACCGCCCCAAGACGGCCCAAGAGGCTCCCAAGAGGCCCCCAAAACGGCCCCAGAGGGTCCCAAGACGGCCCCAGAGGCGCCCAAGACCGCCCAAGAGGACCCCAAGACGGCCCCAAGAGGGGGACCGCGAACCGAAAAGTCGAGCCTTTCGCTCCAAGAAGCTCCCAGGAGGCCCCCACAGCCCCCCAAGAAGCCCCAAGACGCCCCCAAGAGGCTGCCAAAAGGGCTCCCAAAGGGCCCCATAGGACTCCCAAGAAGGCCCAGAGTCGCCAAATGAAGAGCGATCGGTAATGCAAAAAGCTCTTCACACCAAGGCTCACCAGAGCGAACGGTGGCGTACACAAGCTGATAAGACCAAGGCTCCCAGCAGAGAGCGGTGACGTAACAAGTTCTTGACACCAAGGCCCAGCCAAGGCTCAGGAACGGGCGGCAACGCAACAATCTCTGAACACCAACGCTCCCAAGAGCGAGGGGTGACGTAACAAGCTCTCAACGCAAAGGCTCCCGGTACGAACGGTGGTGTGAGTAATTTCGGTTTCTGTTGCTGCAGCGCTCTTTCCGTTTCTGTGCCAGGCCAGGTAACGGAAAGAGCGAGGTACGAGTGATGACGTTCTGGTGTAGGCGAAGCCCTAAAGGGAGGGGTTCCAGGGGAGGGGGGTAGCGTGCACATATGGGTGTTAATGGCCGTTTTCGGGTTTTCCCTTGGGTTTTGCATGTTTTTCGGGTTCCCCCCAAGACGGCCCAAGAGCGCTCCAAGAGACCCCAAGACCGCCCAAGACGGCCCAAGAGGCCCCCAAGAGGCCCCCAAGAGGCGCCCAAGGGGCGTCCCAAGAGGGCCCCAAGATGCCGAAATCATCGATTTTCCAAAAGAAAGCGTATATTTTAGCATATGGGTTTTGTCGGCTTTCACGGCGTTGACGACGGCCCAAGAGGCCCCCAAGACCGCCCCAAAGACGGCCCAAGAGGCTCCCAAGAGGCCCCCAAAACGGCCCAAGAGGGCCCCAATACGGCCCAAGAGGCGCTCAAGACGGCCCAAGACGGCGCCAAGACGGCCCCAAGAGGGGGACCACGAACCGAAAAGTCTAGCCTTTCGCCCCAAGACGCTCCCAGGAGGCCCCCAGAGCCCCCCAAGAAGCCCCAAGAGGCCCCCAAGAGGCGTCCCAAGAGGCCACCGGGAGGCGAAAATCATTGATTTCCTTTGGGGAAAGGTACATTTTCAGCATGCAAGGCTTTTCGACTTTCACTGCGTTGACGACGCCCCAAGAGGCCCCCAAGACCGCCCCAAGACGGCCCAAGAGGCTCCCAAGAGGCCCCCAAAACGGCCCAAGAGAGCGCCAAGACGGCCCAAGAGTCGCCCAAGACGGCCCAAGAGGGCCCCAAGACGGCCCCAAGAGGGGGACCACGAACCGAAAAGTCGAGCCTTTCGCCCCAAGAAGCCCCCAGGAGGCCCCCAGAGCCCCCCAAGAAGCCCCAAGAGGCCCCCAAGAGGTTCCCAAGAGGCCTCCGAAAGGGCCCGACAAGGGCCCCAATAGGACTCCCAAGAAGGCCCAGGGTCGCCAATTAAAGAGCGATCGGTAATGCAAAAAGCTCTTCACACCAAGGCTCCCAAGAGCGAACGGTGACGTAAACAAGCTGATAAGACCAAGGCTCCCAGCAGAGAGCGGTGACGTAACAAGTTCCTGACACCAAGGCCCAGCCAAGGCTCAGGAACGGGCGGCAACGCAACAATCTCTGAACACCAAGGCTCCCAAGAGCGAGGGATGACGTAACAAGCTCTCAACGCCAAGGCTCCCAGCACGAACGGTGGTGTGAGTAATTTCGGTTTCTGTTGCTGGTTTCCGTGCCGGCCCAGGTTTAGTGGCTTTCGGCCCATCCCGCCACCATGCTTGGGTTGTGGGTTAGGAGCATCTTGGATCTTCGTCGGGATATCGTGGGAAGCCTCTCGGGAGTCTCTTGGAGGCATTTTTGAAGCCTCATAAGGGCCGTTTGGGGGCCTCTTGGGGGCCTCGTGAGGCATTTCGGGGGCCTCTTGGGCGCTTCTTGGGGCCTCTCGGAGGTTGGGGCTTCCTGAGGGCTTCTTGGGGCGGAAGGCTCGAATTGTCAGTTCGTGTTCCCCCTCTTGGGCCCCTCTTGGGGCAGTCTTGGGGCTCTCTTTGGCGGTCTTGGACGCCTCCTGGGCCGTCTTGGGGCCCTCTTGAGGGCCTCTTGAGCCGTCTTGGGGCGGTCTTTGGGCTGTGTTGGGGGCCTCTGGGGCCATCTTGGAGCGTCGGAAGCCAGAAAACGTGAGAACGAGAATTCCCCTGGCGAAGGACCCAGCCATATGCAGTTGTGCGTACCGTTGTTGCGGGTATCGCCTTCGGGGAACCTCCTCATGGGGCCATGAAGCATTCGAAGGGTGTGCCGATGTGAGGCGGGGCCGCCATGTGGGCGCTGCCGCTGGTGCGTTAGGCGGAACGCACTACGGGGCCGCGAAAAGTGCGATGGGGTGCGCCGCAATGGGGCGGGGCCGCTACTGAGGCCTTCGGTGGAGCTCCCTCTGGGGCATCGAGACGGTGAGGGAAACGCATGCGAGTCCAGCCGCCCGGGCCTTCGGTGGAGCTTCCCATGAGGCCACGAAGCGATGTGCTTGGTGGGGCGAACGCACGCGAACACCGCCACGAAGGGCATTCGGTGGAGCGCCCTATGGGGTCATGGAGCGCTGTACTGAGTGGGGGAAACGCATGCGAACACCGCCTCCTGGGGGCCTCTTGGGGCGGAAGGCTTGGATTTTCGTTTCGTGTTCCCTCTTTAGACCCGTTAGGGGGCCATCTTGGGGCCCTCGTGAGCCGTTTTGGGCGCCTCTTGGGCTGTCTTGGGGCCTTCTTGGGCAGTTTTGGGGCCCTCTTGGAAGCCTCTTGCGCCGTCTTGGGATGGTCTTGGGGTCCTCTAGGGCCGCCTGGGAGCGTCGGGAAGCCGAAAAGGCGAGGACGTCAAAATCTTTCTAATTGGGGGAAGCAATGATTTTGGCCTCTTGGGGCCTTCTTGGGAGGCCTCTTGGAGGCCTAGAGGTTTCTTGGGCCGTCTTGAGGCCATCTTGGGCGTCGTGGGCCGATCTTTCGGCGACTTGGCGCCGTTTTGGAGGCCTCCTGGGGGCCCTCTTGCCCGCTCTTGGGGCCCTCTTGGGCCCTCACAAAGTCACGCGACACGACGCGACAAGCCCCAAGAGGGTACACGCCAGGCCCCGGAGAAACCGGGAATTTGTAGTCTGTGCCCTTTCAAGCCTCCTCAGGGGTGATGAGTGAGGCTCAGAGGGTACAGTGAGAGGACCTGAAGACACGCCCACTCTGTGCCCAGCGGCACGGTGGCGGATATTTCAGTCCACTCCAGTCCACTAGTCTTCTGATCTATTCGGGGTCTGCGCTGGCCGGTCTTGGGCGGATTTGGGCCGGATGGGAGAGCCGCCGCTGTCTCAATTGGCCGTTCTCCGCGAGGCTGTTGTTCGGAGCGCGCGGTAGGGGAGGGTGCCGCGCAACGGCCTTGGTCGAGCGGGGCGGCCGCCGGCGGGATTCTCAGCAGCAGTACGCGGAGAAGACGCAGACGGTCATCATCTTCGATTGGGATGACACGCTGTTCCCAACTGCATATGTGAGACACGATCTAGGCCTCTCCACCCGAAAGCACTTGAGGCACCAGGACCTCAGGCCCGATGCCATGTCGCAGGTCCAGGCCACGCTGGCGAGAGCCGCGGGTGCCGCCAGCCAGCTCCTCCGGTTGGCGGCCAGGCGCGGGAAGGTTGTCATAGTAACTCTGGCCAGGAGCCCCTGGGTCACCGCCTCGTGCATGCACTTCTACCCGGGCATCGGCGAGCTGATAGATGAGCTCGGCATCCAGGTTGTTTATGCTCAGGAAGGCCAGCAGGTAGAGTACGACAAGGTAGACATGATGGCCACTGAACAGTTCGAGACTTTTTGGGCCGAAATGAAGGGCAAAGCCATTGCCGAGGCGCTGAGGGAGTTCTACTCCCAGTACGAGGGTCAGTCCTGGAAAAACATCATCTCCCTGGGAGACTCTGACTTCGAGCGATGGGGCGCGATGGCGGCGGCGAGGCAGTATGCCGAAGCCCAGGGCCTGGTCAGTGACAGCAGTGTCTTCCCGGGCACCAGGTCGAGGGCGCTGGGTGCACGCCGGGGCCCGTTCAGCGCCGTGGGCGCGCAGCTGTCCGTGTCAAGCGTCATGCGTTACATCAACCCCGGCCGCGGGAGGACCGAAGAAGAACACACAGCATAAGCACAATTTTTGGAGCTTCGCGCCGGATTCGTGTCCACGTTCCAGTCCCCAGGCTTCAACTCAGAGGAGGAAAGGTACCCATACTGCTGCCCTTTGCCCGTTTTCCTCTTTTTGGGCCTCCCTGGGGGTTCTCACGACTACTGATCCTCAGGGTTTCGTGGGGATTCTTTTGGGTTTCCAGAGGATTCCCTATGGGTTTCCTTATGATTCCCGAGCGGTTCCGGAGGATTCCCCTCGAGTTCCTGAGGATTCCAAAGGGTTTCGTTAGGATTCCAGAGCGTTTCCGATGAATTCCTCAGAGATTCCTGAGGACCTCTCAGGGGATTCTTGATGATTCCGTATGGGGTTCCTTAGGATTTCCGATGGCTTCTTGAGCGTTCCCTACGGCTTCCTGTGGATGTCCTTGGGTTTCTTGACAATGCCTCAGGGATTCCTGAGGATTCCTTACGGGGTCCTCAGGATCCTCCAAGGATCCTTGATGTTCCCTGAGGGTTCACGTGATTCCCGAGGGTTTCCAAAGGATTCCCTAAGGGTCCTTCAGGGTATCCCCGGGTTTCCTGAGGATTCCTGGGGGGTCCTGGGGATTCCCTCGGATCCCTGGCGATTCCCTTCTGGAACCTGAGGATTCCTTAGGGGTCCAATAGGATTCCCCAAATTGCATTATTTCGGCCGATGGTTCCGCAATGTTGCGTTGAAAGTCGTCGACGGCGGTACGAACGGTAGCCTCCAGCATGTGAATGTGCACGTGAAGCATTTAGGACGAGGTGGGTTTACCGTCGGATGCTTGCTGGGAGAAGACGAACACAAATCCGTTCGCAGGATGTTCTGTTGCGCCGTCATAAGGGGCGCCGTCTTAGGGCCGTTTTGGGCGTTGTTGGGCCATTTGTGGCCGTTTGTGTGCCACACACGGGTTCTGTAGTAAAAACTCCTTGGTACAGATTCTTTCGTAAGGGTTCCTTACTGAGGACTCCTTACTAATGACGCTTTCGTAAAGTTTCTCTATTGAGAACTACTGCGTAAGGATCCCTTGTTAAGGATTCCGTAGTGCAGGTTATGTACTGAGGAATACGGAGTAAGGAAATCTTAGTGACGAGCTTGTATGAGAATTTTTAGAGGGAGTCCTTACTAACGGATCCTTTGTGAGGCAGGTTTCGTAAGGAATCCTTACGGGATAATCCTTAATCAGGATCCTCATTTGGGAATCCCAATTACGGAGTCCTCAGTCGGGAAACCGTACGGGGGAATCCTTATTCGGGAATCCATCTTTAGGAATCCTTGTTGAAGAATCCTCACGAAAGAACCTTTTACTAAGGAATCCAGAGTAAAGGTCCTTACCAAGGGATCCTTACTGAGGAACCTGCACCAAGGAACCCTTACTGAGGAATCCTCATTCATGAATCTTTATTACGGATTCCATAGTCTAGAATCCTTATTATGGCATCTTTAGCACAGAATCCTGACCAAAGAACCCTTATTACATAATCCATATTAAGGAATCGTAGCGAAGGAATCCTTCGTCAGTGATTTTTAGAATGGAATCCTGATTAAGGAAGGCTAAGTAAGGAAAAGGTAATAAGGAATATCTGCCAATGGGTTGCCTTGTTGAGAAAGAAGTCCTTACTAAGGAACCCTTTTACCAACAAGCTCTTTTGACGAAGCCCTTTATCAAGGAACCCGTCCGAAGGAATCCTTAGCAGGGGGTCCTTATTGAGGAGTGTACTTTATTGAGGAATCCTTCTTAAAGGGGTCTGTACGAATTTTCTTCAAGGTATCTCTTTTTAGGAATCCTTAGTCAGGGGTCCCTCGTGAGGAATTCTCAGTCAGGGGTCCTTAGTAAAAGGAGTCCTTGGTTAGAAAGCCGTAGTACGGAACAACTTCTAGGGAACCCGTGCTGATTAAGGAATCCTCATGCAGGAGTCCTTCGTATGGAATCTTGACTAAGGATTGCGAATTAAAGAATCCTTAGTAAGGAATCCTTCGTGAGGAATCCTTACCCAGGAATCATTATTAAGGTTTCCTTGCGACGGAATCCTTAATCAGGAACCCGTACTAAGGATTCCGTAGCAGGGAGCCCTGACTCAGGAATCCCTAGCAAGGAAAGTCGCAATGAATCCTTACAATGAAGTCCTTCGGAAGGCATCTGTATTGAGGAATCTCTATATTTAGGTTTCGTCGGTAAGGAGTCTTGAGTAAGGGGTCCCCAGTAAGGAATTCTCAGACAGGAATCCCCAGTAAGGGATCCGCAGTAAGGAATCCTCAGTAAATGGGGTTCTTAGTAAGGAGTCCTTAATACTAAATCTTTCGTACGGAATCATTCCTAAGGAGTCCTGATTAAGGAGTCCTTATTAAGGAATCCTTAGTAGGGATTCCGGACTGAGGAGTCCTTATTACTGAGTCCTTGTCAATGATTCTTTATAGAGGAATCCAAAGTCCGGAATCTGTACGAAGGAATTAGGACTAAGGGTGTTTTATCAGTGAAGCTTTGGTGCCGAATCTTTATTAAGGAATCCAGACTACGGATTCCTTGTTGATGAATCTAATAAATCTTGACCCAGAAATCCTTCTTACCAGGAAGTTCTTTGTAAGGAAGCCTAACGAAAGGATCCTCACTGAAGAATCCGGCCCAAGGAATCCTCACCAAGTGGTCATTCATGATTCCTTACTACGGAACTCTTAGTAAGAGTTCCTCACCAATGGATCCTTTTTTATGATTCCTTACTTAGGAACACTTAGTACGGATTTCTTATTCAGGGATTGTTTAACATGGTTCCGTACTAAGGAACACTTAGGTAGGATTCCTTACTAAGGGATCCTTATTCACGATTCCTTACTAAGGGATCCGTATACATGACTTCTTACTACAGGACACTTAGTATGGATTCTTCACTAAGGAACGCTTAGTAAAGATTTCTTATTCAGGGATCCTTATCAAGGGGATCCTTACGAAGGGACACTTCGTAAGGACTCCTTAGGAACACTTAGTAAGGATTCCTTACTGAGGGATGCTAATTAATGGTTCCGTACGAGCGAGCACTTAGTAAGGAACCCTTACTAAGGGATCCTTACTGATGATTCACTAGTAAAAGGGTCCTTACCAAGGGAACTCATACTAAGGGACACTTAGTAAGGATTCCTTATACAGGGATTCTTATTCAGGGGTCCTTCTTCAGGGACACTGAGTAAGGATCCCTTACACAGGGGTCCTTATTAAAAGGGAATCCTTATAAGGATTTGTTCTAAGATAGCGTAGGACAGGAGCCTCGCCAGAGAAGACATTGGTCTCCGCTTTTGGTTTTCCTCTGGAGGCCTTCAGGAAAGAATCGTTTTTTTTGTTTGGTTGGGGTTGCTGGGTTGCTGGGTTGCTGGGGGGGGCTGGACAACGCGTTCTTATGACCCGCGTTGACTACTAGTAGTCAAGGCGGGCAAGGCGAGCGTAGGGCACGCGTCCCTCATGACCGCCTTGACCTTGTTGAACTCTTTCTTCTGAATAATAATTATTGTTGATCCCCCCCGTCCGGTGCACACTGTTTTTTTCGATTGAAGTGCCCTTCCCGGGGCTCGCACCCAGTTTTTTACCAGGAAAAGTCTTGAGGGTCAAACTGCGCTGTTGGCCCCCAGTTTACAACAACAACAACAACGGCTCCCGTCTGATATTTCCTCACAATGTATTAAAGAATCGCGCACACGCTTTGCACTTTCTTGCAATTTTCCACGGGATCGCGGCTGCCGCTTGATACTTCCTCACAAGTGATTGAAGAATCGCGCTTTCGCTTGGGACTTCCTTGCAGCTTACCACCGAATCGCGGTTGCTGTTTGATACTTCTTCACAATTTGATTCAGATGCCGCTCCTCGACAGTCAGGAATCGCGCTCCCGCTACATATTGCCTGGCGGTTCAAGCAGAATTTACGCTTCAACGACCCGCCCGCTCGACCCGCCCGTCTGGGCCTGCCCACCCGGCCAGCCCGTTAGGGACCCGACCAGCCCGTTGGGGACTGCAGTCGCCGCTCGCTGCCCTTCGCCCGCCTTCGGTGCCCCTCGCTGCCCGTACTGGTTCCGCGGTCGCCTTCGCTCGCTGCCCTTCGTGGCCCCGTTGGTGCCTTCAGTGGCCCTGTCGCTACCCACTGTGGCCCCGCATTATATGCCCTTCGTGGCCCCGGCTCGCTCGCGCCCGTCGTGGCCCCATACGCATGCCCTTCGTAGCCCCGCTGTCGCCTTTCGTGGCCCCCTCGCTGCCCTTCGTGGCCCCTTTGCTGCCCTCGGTGGGGCCCCGCTGTCGACCTTTGTGGCCCCGTATACGAATGCCCTTCGTGGCCCCCGGTCGCTCGCGCCGGTCGTGGCCCCATACGCATGCCCTTCGTGGTCCCGCTGTCGCCCTTCGTGGCCCCCTCGCTGCCCTTCGTGGCCCTTTTGCTGCCCTCGGTGGGGCTCCGCTGTCGACCTTTGTGGCCCCGTATACGAATGCCCTTCGTGGCCCCCGCTCGCTCGCGCCCGTCGTGGCCCCATACGCATGCCCTTCGTGCCCCCCTTCGTGGCCCCCTATTCGTGGCCCCTTTGCTGCCGTGGGCCGCTGTCGACCTTTGTGGCCCCGTATACGAATGCCCTTCGTGGCCCCCGCTCGCTCGCGCCCGTCGTACTATGCATGCCCTTCGTGGCCCCGCTGTCGCCCTTCGTGGCCCCCTCGCTGCCCTTCGTGGCCCCTTGCTGCCCTCGGGTGGGCCGCTGTCGACCTTTGTGGCCCCGTATACGAATGCCCTTCGTGGCCCCCGCTCGCTCGCGCCCGTCGTGGCCCCATACGCATGCCCTTCGTGGCCCCGCTGTCGCCCTTCGTGGCCCCCTCGCTGCCCTTCGTGGCCCCTTGCTGCCCTGGGTGGGGCCCCGCTGTCGACCTTTGTGGCCCCGTATACGAATGCCCTTCGTGGCCCCCGCTCGCTCGCGCCCGTCGTGGCCCCATACGCATGCCCTTCGTGGCCCCG